CAGGCTTATCCTCGCTAACGCTCCGTGCAGTGTTTGTGTCGCATATCGTCGTCTCCGTCTTTGACTTTTGTAATTTGTTGCGCTCGATACTGAACTCGTTTGTGACAACAATATCGCTATTCTGGCGATTCAATGCACCAGGTCTGCTGGGGGGAAGGATGTCATCGTCAATGATGTTACATTCGCTGTCGCGCTGCGATTCGTTTCTCGGATGGGACACGGTACTCCTGTGGCCTGTTCCAGGGTGGTGATTACTTTGCCAGATCATTGGGTATGACAGACGCTTCGTGTTTGCTTTGGAGGCTCCGTGCGAGCCGAATAAGGGTCCGAGTAAGCGTACGAATGGGGCGCGGAGCATTGGAAGACAGGCACAGATTATACCAGCGTTCGCTTCGATGACGGACCATATCGTCGCAGGAATGGGTCCCCAGGTTGGATCTGGGTTGCTTGCGGATATTGCAATGGTCGTAGCGCGATAGATAGACGCAAAGGTCACGCTTTGTACTGTCAGCAACTCGTCTTGAGCAGATCTTCTATAACACATACAATCCACCGGTTCCAAACACTAATGCTACACCCAGCTTCTCGGTTGTTCCCATGGAGAGTTTTAGAATCTGTCGGAATGGCATGGCAAGAAGTACAAAGTCGGTGATGATCTGGACGGTTGCGTAGGAGATCCACCAGGGTTGATTGTGGAAACATTTAGCTCCTTCTATGCTGTGATCCCAGAAAGCGGCAATCGGTGTGCACTGGAAGATTGTAGCCAGGGTAAAAGCAATACCTGTAGTGACTATCCATACATCTGGAGCTATTTTAGCACGCGGGCTCATGTCATAGCGGTACAAGTACTTACTCATGACGTGGCATGCGATGCGGAAAGACGTTGTAATGATGGCGAAGATGCGATAGTACAAGCATACAACGGACATTTTATTGAACAGTAGAACCACTTTGTAAACAACTATGAGAGTTAGTAGTATTCCGGGGGTATAGCAACGCCTTGCCTATGTGGTATTCTTATGACAGAAATGAAGAGGCGATGATGGGTCTACTCACTGTTCGCCCCATAGAACCATTTGCGAGCCGTCATCCGAGATTCCGAAGGTAGTGTCTTCCAAGGCCTCCCGTAGCCATACACAACAGCTGAAGAAGATTAGCGTTTAATCTCCATACAGACCGATGAGCCTACCTTGACACTCAGTCACAGTCAGCAGAATCGAAGAAAACAAGGCTGCGATAATCAAGTAGTCGTCTATTCCTAGCCCGCTTTTCTTAATGAACCGCTGAACGATGCGTGCGCCGACAAAAAAACCAGCTAGCACGACAGCCAGCACACTGGTGAGCCAGAGACCCCATCCGCGCTCGACTGGGCCTTGAGAGCCCAGGCCGATGTTGGGAGCCATGCGGAGTGAAGATGTATACAAAGTGATGGGAATTGTTTACAGGAACCAAGGTTCCACGGATAGCGGGACCTGGCGGCATAACTAGCTATGCTGGAGCAAGGTTGCATCCCAAGGAGCCCATGATTTAGCAGTACACAGGTAAACACGCTACTATATGCAGGGTAAAGAACGTGAGCCGTGTGCCAGAGATACGAACCGACTCGCCTTGTGGGGGTCCAGTCAGGGAGACCACGAGGGCAAATGTTTCACTGCTACCGTGCCCTACGATTGGATCTGGTATTCCCAGTTTCCGGGACGGCCAAAAATGGGCTCTGCAGCAGACAAGATTTTCCTTGCTAGGGTGAACACATTGTCCCTTGGACTGCTTGGAAAAGGTGATGATCAGCGCGGTGACATTCACAGAAGAGGTATGGGCTATTTGACAGGGTGTCTTGGGTCAGTTGGAGATCGGCGATTCGTACTTGTTCCATTGACGATGCAAGAACACTGGCGTTACCAAACGCATTGCTCCTATCCGTTACGCTAGAACATGGTGAGAACGTTTTGCAAGGACATGGAAACGATAATCCCCACGGAAGGGATGCGCATAATTAGCAACTGGAAACTTGTTACAAGGCGATTAAAGGCAGGTCATCAAAATGGCCAGGTTCCGTGCGGCTGGGAAGGACGACAGGGTGGTTTTGGGACTAGCGCCCCCACGCGAAATGGTCAATGGATGCAACCGAAATGAACCTTCACCCGCAGTCGCCATGTCAAAAACGACGTCGATGCTTTGCCGTGCCAGAGCCCTACCGCGCACCCATTGTTCATCATTCGGCAGGCTGAGTAATTCCCATCCTACCTCGGTTGGCATCCGTGTCTACTCCCCACATCATTCGTCCGGCGTATAATGCATGCCGTTGACGGCGACCAAGCGACATGGGCTACCAGCTAGCCAGCCCGCTCCCGTAGCCCAGCGGCGAACCATCGTGTGGGATTTGTTCCGTTATAAGCCCGCTGCCCACCCTTTGTCGCCAGGCCAGCCACTCAAATCCTCACTGGGGCTGTCGTGGTTTCGCGTTGACAAAGATGCAGCACCTTCTCCTTACAGCTGCAGCTATAGCCTCATTTTTTGGCTCGGCTATCTCAACGCCAACAGGCAAGTCACGTGTCGAGACGTCGAGTGGCATTGTAGTCGGTCATCCAGCTTCTAACAAGACTCACGTGACTGAGTTCCTGGGAATCCGCTATGCTGAGGCGCCTGTGGGTGAGCTGCGATTCGCAGCGCCAAAGAAATATCAAGCGCCGCTAGGGTCCGTGTTCGAGGCGGCGGAGTGGGTGGGTACTGTCAATGTTACATTGCGAGAAACTTGCTAATAGTTGTAGTCAGCGTATGTTTCCACGGTACCACGCGTGAAACGCATCTAACGGCGTTGTAGTGATTGTCCCGCTGTTAAGCCGCCCGTGTCTTCATTTCCGAACTTTACACAACCATCTGGCTTACGTGTATGGAAGAACTTTGCTGCGCAGAACAACAATCCTGTATCCGAAGATTGCCTGAAGCTTAATGTTTGGACGTCGAGTGCCGGCAAAGCTCACGCCAAAAAGCCAGTGCTGGTGTTCCTCCATGGCGGGCGTACGTTGTCACTTTATGCAGAGTAAAAAACTTGCATTAACACTGCTCAGGTTTTCAGATACCCGGCCCCCACAGCCCCTTCTATAGCGGCCAGTACCTTGCCGATGCCGAAGACGTTGTGGTAGTGACGTTCAAGTAAGACTAATCGATTCTGCACGCATACATATACTGATCACATCAGTTATCGCTTGGGTATCTTTGGCTTTGCTGGTGCTCCTGGTATCGAGAAGAATGCCGCCCTTCGCGACCACCGTGCCGCTGTAGAATGGGTGCGTGACAATATCAAAGGCTTCGGAGGCGATCCCTCGCGTATTGTTATCTTCGGACAGAGTGCTGGTGGTGCTGCGGTCGATTACTGGGCGTACGCCTGGCAGAACGACCCCATTGTTTCGGGTCTTATCCCCATGTCTGGGACCTCACTCAGCTTCATCCCAAACACAGTCGAGTACTCGCAGTCTATCTGGTACAACGTTTCCCGTACGATTGGGTGCGGTGGTGCTGGCGACGTCTCTGCTTCAGTCTTAGCCTGCGTCCGTTCAGCAAACGTGTCGGCCATTCTCGCAGCAGCAGCGAGAGTTCCTGGCCTTCCCAGTGTTGGCTTGACGCAGGCGACCTTCCACCCGACTGTTGATAACCAAACAGTCTTCGCGGATTACCAGCAACTCTCTGAAGCCGGTTCTTTCGCGAGGATTCCGCTCCTACTCGGCAACACCGACCACGAAGACGGATGGTACCGCATTTCTGGATGGGCAGCCAAAATAAACTTTACCAACGCCAAGTGGGACTTATTCACTGAACGCAGCTTCACTTGTCCGACTTCCCTTTCAGCTGGATACCGTGCTCAACACAACGTCCCTACCTGGCGATACAGATACCACGGCGACTGGGACAATCTCCGACTTTACAACGGCAGCGCAGGTCTCGGGCCTCGAGGTAGCGCAGCCTACCACGGATCTGATCTTGGACTCGTCTTTGGCACTGCTCAAGATATCTCTGGTCTTCCCAACAGCCGTGCGGAAAACAAGTACAGGGACTACGTTCAGGGCGCTTGGGCAGCGTTTGCTCGAGACTCGCAGCGTGGGTTAACCAAGTATGGATGGCCGAAATACAATGCAGGTGAGTTTTTATCCAACTCCTTGAAAAAGAAATGTATACTAATATTAACAGGTGCCGCTACACTGGTGGAACTGGCCTACAACAACAGTGTCAAGCCCAACTTTGTCAATCCGTCGACTTACGATGCAGCATGCCCTGCGAAGAATGACCCGCTGCCTGGCCGAGGCGCGTTTTAAACATTTCTTTAATCTCTATCATATCAATCAAATCCAATTAATAAATCCCTGGCATCTTCTCATGGCAAACAATGCTCTCACTCCGTTTTTTCACCACAACTTGGACTTTCTTTACCATGTACACCATGTGATAGTGATATATCGCCAAGAAAACCAATATAAAAACCCCGTTCCATAGTGAGATAGTTACACAGCAGCAAGCACTACCTTGCGTCAGTGGCTTGCGCACTGACGAGTTCACACGTGGTGGCGTCCGTTTATCCCAGTTCCTTGGGGCCCTTGCATCCCGTTCCTACCACTGTATCAGCACTACACTTTAGCAACGATACTCCCCATAGCCGCAAATCTTTATTTAGCAGAATAAATAGCTCAGCATGTTTTTTTGAACTTGGAGGGTTTAAGGGCATAGCAACTTGTAAACCTAGACAAGGAAACCAAGTTCAGGGGTAAGTATATTATCCAAAAGGCAACCGGGACTAGAATCCTTTTCCCCCGCACACGTAGACTAGTCCGTTGTGGGTAAATACTGCATGCGCCCATCGAAGGAATGAAATCCTGACGGGAAGCGCAGGTACAAAAAGGCTTTGAGAGGCCCCTCCCCCCGCGCGTATGGGTTGGCAGGTGCGGTAGTACACCCGCGTTACACTACAAAAATCTCACAGAAACACACAAAATACGATTGACACCACGATGGATTTAAGTAGCACATGGCAATTCAATCCCATTGCGACCTCGTGGCCTCCAAACGTACTACAGAACCTAGCGTTCTGGACTGCAACAAATGGATCGTGGGAATACCAAATCCAGCTTTCCTGGCCGCTGAATTGGACTAGTCGCGAGGAAACGTCGGTGGTGGAAACGATGTACGCCACATCCCCCACCCCCTCCCAATTCGTTCAATAAACTTACATGCATGACTACATAGGTACATTTTAGATGGCAATGCGCTCGGCCTTACCGCCACCGAGTCGCTACGTCGACGTCGCCCCGTCGAGTTCAACATGCCGGATTGCATCGTGGTGAGCGTCGGGTATCCCGAGACGCTCCCAGACTCGCCGTATAGCAGTCAACGCAGCTACGATTTTCAACCTCCCGTGTGTGAGGGGTGTCCCGCGCCAGCAATCCCAGGAGTGCCTTCGAATGCAGATAGTTTTATCGAGTTCATCGATACAGCACTACGACCTTGGATTCGTAGCAGTGCATTCCCTAAGGCGGATTTTGATCGCGATGCATTGTATGGGCACTCATTCGGGGGACTGTTCGTGCTGTATGCACTTACTGTTCGACCAGATTTGTTTGATACATTCTTGAGTGCGTCGCCTGCGCTAACTTTCAACGATGGCTATGTGTTTAATTCTACGGAGTTTCTGGCGCCGCTTGTGACACCTGGTTCTGCGAATACGACGAATGGGACGAGGCCGGCATTCCAGATTAGCTATGGGGCACTGGAGCAAGGTCCCGTGCAGAGACGAACGGAGACGGATAAGGAATTTGAGTTGAGAAAGGGCGTTCTTGTGGCGCAGCAGATGACGACTTTGTCTCGGAAGTTGCATAGTGTGCTAGAAGGAAGTCACGCATTGAGGGATGTCAGTCTTCGCGAGTACCCGTTTAGCGACCATGCTGCTGTTGGGGCGGCGGCATTGGCAGACGGGATTGATTATTTCTTGGACTGGTGTTCGGCAAAGTATTGTTAGGGACCATGGGGGACTGGGGAGGAGGGGAAGTGCCGTGCGACCTAAATGTGGTTGAGGATGCGATTGGCAGCGAGATGCATAATCGGCCCACTTGTTTTGGGACGGCGCTGGTGTGCTCACTAAAGGCGGCATGTCAGGAGGTTTGGCGTGGGTTGGTGTGTAGTTTACATACACCTCATCTGACATGTCAACCTTGGTTCGATGCTGATCCCCACACGTGGTTCATACAGCATGGTGAGATGGGTATTGATATGCCATGGTTGTCGAAGACGTATCATTAGACGATGGTCGAAGAGATGCGGATCAACAGATACCACTCAGCACATGTGAATGAAAGCCCTGCTAAGCTCACTTGGGCCAAGACTGCGGTACGGCTGATTGCTGGTGGAGAGGAGCATCCCGCATATCCGGCAAAGCGTCCGAGACCCTTTTGCTGTTCATCCACCGATGTACCTTGTCGTGTCCTCGGTCCCCTTGTCAGGTGTACCATGACGTTTGCATGATGAAAAGAGTACCATGGCAGCCTACAATGCTACCTTCTGACTCGCTGCCTGTCTCTGGATGTGCAGATGGGCGTGTGTAGGTGTACTGCCAGCTCAACTACACGTTCCGCGTTAAGCGGTGACAACATCCACGATTAGGATGAATGCAGTATCTTTTGCATCCAAACTCTGTCAAATGGGCACCTGGCCGGGTTAGTTGCCCGTTTGGAAGGGTGATAAGTACGTCCCTGACCGCCTGGGTCGACGTCGTGGGGTGGTTGGCACCGGGGCCGTGTGAGATGGCAGCCAATTCACGAGTAGTGAGTGGTGGAAAGGGCTGACCCCACCTTGAGTGATTTGAAGGGGACGACGGTGCACGTCTCTGGCACAGCAATGGAGAGATTCAGGGTGGTATAGGGCGTGGCAGATGTGGATTCAATTCCACCGCTCATTGCGCCCAAGGTGGATGAGACGATGCGGGCAGTGACCGGCGGGCAGCGCCATTGGGTGGCGGTGGTGGGGGCGTGGGACCCGCCGGGCATAAGAGGCTCAACGGATGTTTGAGCAGCGCAGAAAAAGATTTCGCCTAGCACTTCCCGGCCCACTCTACGTCATCTTGAGGGAAGAGGAGATGAATCCCCCCAGGTACCATGAATCCATATCAAAACCACTCGGGCGCCTGCCGGCAAGCAACACGCACGCCTATCTCCCCGCTGGACGGCCTCTTCTTCCTCCGCCATCAACCACAATCACCACCACCATAGACGTAGATATTGACACAGACATTCACCTGTACACACATACATCGCCGCCATCATGCAACGCACACACACCACCGAGAGCATGCGAGTGCCATTCTCTAACATCTCCACTCTCAACATGAACAAGGCCCCGCGTCCAGGCATTGAACGCGCTCCCACATCCACCAACCTCACCCGTCCCATGCCCATCCAACGCCTCGAGGGAAAGGTCGTGATGATCACGGGCGGCGGCGGCAAAGTTGGTGTCGAATCTGCTGGTCGTCTACTCATCGAAGGCTGCAACGTCGCCCTCATCGACATTGAACAAACAGCCCTCGAGGCCGCCGTACCCGTCCTCAAAGCCGCCATCCCCACCGGCGTACCCATTGAATCGCGTCTCCTCACCATTGTCGCCGATGCCACCAAGGAAGCCGACGTCGAAGCGTGCGCCAAGAAGGTCGTCCAGCGCTTCAGCAAGCTCGATGCCGCCTTGTTGAACTGCTGCCAGCGTGGTGCCTCAAAGAGCATTTTCGACGTTACCGAAGACGACTTTGACCGTATCATGACTATCAACGCCAAGTCCGGTATGTCCTTTCCTATCTCCCTAATCACATATCCATCCAAAGCTAACGCCAAAACCAGCTTTCCTTGGCGTCAAATACGCAGCAACAGCCATGCAAACCACATCCGGCAGCGGCTCCATCATCATCCGCTCCTCCATCGCCGGTCTCCGCGGCTTCCCCAACCTCATCTCCTACAGCGCCTCCAAATTCGCTCTCCGCGGTATCGCTCTCACCGCCGCTGAGGAACTCGGTCCCCTCGGTATCCGCGTTAATACTATCCACACGAGCATTATTGAGACGCCGGGCTATAAAGATGGGTGGAGCAAGGAGAAGTTGGCTGAATTGAAGGAGGAGACGGCCCTGGATCGGTTTAGCAGTCCCGACGATGTGGCCAGTGTGGTGGCTTTCTTGGTCAGCGAGGACAGCAAGTTCATGACGGGCGGGCATCTGAAGATTGATGGCGGCTGTGTTGCTGTATAAGAGGTGGAAATGTGTATCAAGTGGTGTTTTTTTTTCACATCATGACTGAGGTGAGGACGCGATGAATGATTTTGCATGAATGGAGTTTGGGATTCGGCCCGCTGCGGCTTTTTTGGTTTCTCTTCTATGCATTCTGGTAGCATGGTTTTTTGTATATATCAAACGTGCTCGGTTGGATTGGCAGTTGTTGTTGGGTCTTTGGTTATATGGGAGGGATGGATAGAGGTGATGCAAGTATAGAATGAATCTTGACTATATGTAGGTCATGTAGCTGGATGAATAACTAGTTTATCAACACGGCTTGTCTTCTTGGTATTGCCTGCTTCGGCTTGTGCAATTGTGAGCTATATGCCTTTCGACGTCAACTTTCATGTGCCAAACGCTGACTGGCATACTGCTGTGCCCGATTGATAGTAGTAGCCTCCTATATTTTTCTTTACAGGGACATTTTACAGTGGCCTGTAGCTGTTCCACAGTATCCCGAAGACAAACAACAACCTCCAAACGTAGAACCATTGCATACCAACGTGTATCTTCCACAGTACACATCAGTCATCATCTCAGTCATTTCGAAACATGAAATCAACCGAACTCGCAAGAGGCCTCAGGACCGATGGATCCCAATGTCGGTTTTGCTACCGGTGCTTCGTCGATGTGAATGGCGTTCCAGATTCCATCTAGATTGCAATGATCGTGACCATGATACAACGTCCGCTATGGCACTTGTTCACACCGCGAGAAACCTTCACATGTGCCGTAATTTCCAGACAGAGAACAGCGTTTCCCCCGCTTGCCACCGCACTTGGGGTTCTAATATTGTACAATCATATCCAATTCGCATTGTAAACGATGTAGTGTCGTGAGTCAGCCTTGTGCTAATAACTCTACTGCAATGCACCTCCCATAACGGGATAATACGCAGCGAAGATATGTAAGATAGGCACGCCAATATCGGCTGAGAAGAATGCTGTGGACGATGACGGCTTATCAGATTAAGTAGAGTTAGCTTAGCGGCTATCTCCCGTTTTGAGCCATTATCTCCTTAGGCTGGTCATATTTTCGGATATGGATATCGATTGAGGTCTAGTTTAGGACTAGGTTCAATTAAATAGTATACTTTTTTTGGTGTTGTAGCCTGTTATTCCCTGCTTCACTGTGCCGCCAACAGGCCAGCGGGTGGAAGGATTTCCGGTGGGGGCGGAAACGGGATTTAGCAACTCAATATGATAGGTACGATGGATTATATAAATTTGAATGCTGACTGCTTTTCGGCACTGCGTTCGAGCCACGTTTCTCACTAAAATATGTAGAGCTTCGTCCACGCCCGTTCCATGGTCATCCCCAAATATCCACCAAACTGCTTGCTGAATTATCAATCTTCAACCTTGCCATGGATCCAAGTCTTCCCACAGCAGTAGAGCTCGATGAGGACCCGGATAGAATTCGGCAAGATCTGCTCAGTCGCCTGCACTGGAACGTTTTCGGCTCCCTCGACGAGGTTGCAGTTCGGGACGGCCCTGCACTCACGCCCCTCGCAAACCAAGCTATAAAATCCGAAAGCATCGCACCACCACCCTTCTCCAAAGTCACCATCCATATAAACGCCTGTCAGGAGAAATACGCCATGGACGAGCATGACGAAGAGTATCGATACCAGCCGCCGGCGCCGCTAGTCATTGAAAAGCCGGCCGGTACTCTCGCATTTCGATAAACGACTTTGTCACTCACGTCCACCCTTTCCTGAACCCCAACAAGGAAGAGATATTCAAATGCGATGACGAAATTTATACGCTGCCGACGAGGCTGAAAGATGGAACTACGTCTGTTGGCGTCGACCCTAACGAATTCGGCGCAGTTGACGGTGATGAGAACAGTTACTTTTTGCGAAGCGGCCACATCCCAGCAAACCCTAGGTTTTTTTTCGATGAAGCTCGATTCAATGAGGCAGACGAAGATGAGTTCGAGATCTATGTTGTGCTTTTCGTGGATGGTAATATGGGTACTTCTTTTGATGAGTTCTGGGCTCAGCGCGCTGCGGTGACATACGTGCATCGTGAATGATGGGCTGCATGCATCTAGGAGTTAGGATGTCTTTGCAATACTGGCACCGCCCCCAGCTACTATCCGTTACCCACATGCATCTCTGTCGGGTGATGCCCAGGAGCGCTAGGCTAGTATGTTTTAATTCTACGAATCGATTTGAGGTATGAAGTTGGCTGCTACTCCTTGGAAGCAAGAGGAGTGCATGTAATTTCCGCTCGTGTGAATAGTAAGTGCCACACATGTCTCGCTCCTGGACACTTCTTCGGCCCTCTACGTACGGTTTTCCCTTGTTGCGACTGCGACGTCGAAGTCGTGCCCATCGCGGTCAAGTAGAGTGTCGAGGTTGCTTGAAGAAGGTGAGTGGAAAATATTATTGCCGGAGGTGTGTAGAGACGAGTTTAGGAGGATTGGCTGACGACTGCGGTACTCATGCTTCGTTTTGGGATTGTAGGGAGGAATATTGACGGAAATGTTTTTTGTTTTTATAGATGACATACATTCCTTCTCTTTTAATGATCAAGGACCGTTTTGGAGGATTAGATCGGTAGTTATGCTATAATCTATAAGGTGATTAAGTCATATACACGGAGAATAATATCGAGCTTTGAAATTGGGCCGAACTTCTTAAAAAGGTGATAGAGCCCTTATAGAGAAGTGCTCATATACATATATGCACGTGACTAGAACTAACCTAGGCCTACGAAGTTCCAGGATCGTCAGATTAGCTTAGTCCCGAGTATGACGACAGTATTAGCGTAATTTGCGTACTTGCCTATTCTAGTTACTTTCCTTCCTGTAGCCATTACAAGAGCTTTAGTCCATCACCATAGAAAAGCAAGAAAAAAACAACAACAAATAACGATAAAAACGGTTATTATTCCATCTCCAGCACACCAGTGCATTACTTGAGGTTCCTGTATCTGAGAGGTCTCATTGATATTCTCCCTTCCTAAAAACCACTCTTGTACCATTAGAGCAAAAGAAAAAAGGCGTCTATCAAAACAGATAATGTAACACACCCACAAAAACAGTCTACTCGACGAGCTCCAGCTCGCCAGTCCTATTCCTGGCGAAGGTATCCTTATGCTCGTTCCATATACGCATCAGCTCATCGACATACTGCTGGTGCACTTGGTCAATGTAGTCGTTGTTAGGATGTTCATTCTGCACGACCCTGATTGGACGTCCAACAACAATGTTGATTGGTCGACGATACGGCATCATACCCACGTCGTAGTTGAAAACACCGCGAGCGTGGAAGATGGGCACGGTAAAACCCATAAATTTCTTGACTAGCAGTTGAAACTTGTGGATGTACGGATGGGACTCGGTGTCGACTTGGTCGTAAATGTCGTTCTCGCCAAAGGACAGGACCGGGACAAGGTCAGCGCCAGTACGAATGGCCAGCTTTACAAAGCCTTTGCGACGACGGAGGACTAGCTTGATTTCACCAGGGCGGGCGTCGAGGGATTCGGCAGCACCACCAACGACAATGGTAATGGCACGACCCATGCCTTCGCCATTCTGGCCGCCCTTGGACAGGATGTTCTCGCAAGACTCACGAGACACGGAGGCCATGCCAAGACGGAGCGCATACTCGCGGTAGATGGGGTAGCGGAAGTTTGAGTCGAGAGTCAACAAGGTATTTGTAATACCAGGAAACAGCTGGGAGAAGCCCAGGGCTTCCGTGGCAAAAGCGGCAAAGGCGCCGTGTGAGATGATACCGTGCGGATGATAGCCGAAAATATACTTTCTCGTTGGTTCCAGCTCCTGTGACCGGTGAAGACGGGCGGGGAAGTAGGATGCAAAGAGCGACCAGACGGGGAGTCGTCGGAACCATTCACTCCGAAGGGAAAGCTCTCCGGAAGTGCCAGCATCCGAGAAGAGGACGTAGACAGTGTATGGGAGTAGGATGGGCCAGAGCAGTGGTATGCTGCAGAGGAAGAAGAAGATGGCGAGACTTCCGACAATGCTGAGCGTGTGCATGAGCACAGCGAGGGTCTGCAGACGGCGTTGCAAGGGTACATTCATGGGGGCAAACCGTATTCTGGAGTCGTCAGCACTGTATCGTATGGTAGTGAATGGGCATGCGTGTCGACTTACTTGCTCTTTGACCATGATGCGCCGGCCTGCCGTCCCGCCGTGAGCTCCGAATCTCTGCGCTTGAGGTCGGTTCGTCGGCCTTGCGGGGGGAGCTCGCTCTCCTGTGAAGGTTTCACAGTGGTTAGCGCATTGCCATTACCATTGATATGATTCTCAATCATGTCTTTGGGCGGCTGGTTATCTTGGGTGCTTTTAGATGATTTGTGGGAGCTGCGCGACGACACCCGGCGATGGCCTCGCGCTGTTGGGCTTTTTGGAGAGCCATCCTGGCCAATGCCTTCGTGCGACGTCTTTTCCTCGTCCTCGGCAGCATGGATGCCATTGGTCTTTACCTCGTCAGTCCTGCCCTCGCCGTTGACATGTGATTGTGGGCCCGACTGGAGAGCCTCTTCGGCAGCGTCAGCATACGACTTGGGCGGCAGGTTGTGCTCCGCGCGCTCCTCTGGCGCCGAAGGCTCAGGGTTAAGAGACATGGCGAGTAGCAATGTACGGGAGGAAGAAGCGAGCAGGATATGAGCAGTGTGTCTGAAGATTGTCAGGACGTGTCTGGGGTTTTGTTGGGTGACATGTGTGACATAGCGCGCCTGGAAGCCTTCCTGACATTCCGCGTGGAAATGACGTTGGACTGTGGCTGCGGCAGCCCCAGCCCGACGCCACGACCAATCCGGTCCGTCGGCAGCGTCGATCATCCACGGTACATCGCGCCATCACATGTACAACCATACTATTTGACTTGGAGGTATATGGAGATGTTGGCATCTAAAAAAAAATTAGGCTAATGATTTATACACTACTGATAAATGACAATACGAGTGTCTATGTGAGCAATTCTGTAATTGTGTGGACGTTTGGCGCATACCGATTGAGATTTCAACTACAACACCACTTTGCCACTCCCTGATTCGTCCATTTGAAAGCATGCTGTTACCTGAGCAGCAATGCCTCCCTCTTACCTTGGCACTCCTGTCCAAAATACTCTTTCCATAAGATCAGCTCTCGTTCTTACCGACCCATCTGGACAAAAGACCGCGTCAAGCAAAATAGACAGGCACCAACACCACAATGTCCCTCCACGCCACCCCAGCTCTCTCATCCCGCATAACAAAACCAAGACGAAAATCCGGACTCGCAGCCCTAGGTTTAAAACGCAAGACATCCTCTCCCTCAACTACAACTCCAAAACAACTCTCCTTACCATCTGAACCCTCAACCTACGACGATGGCCAACCCCCCTCTCTACTCACTAACCTCAACCTATGCGATATTCCTCAAACCATAACCTCCATCCACACCCACACATTCTCGGCCCTCCCCAATTATCCTTCACTCTCCTCAATTCTCACATCCCGCATCCTCAACCATCGCCGCCGCCTCCCGCCCTTCATATCCCTCGCACACTTGCATGCTGTATCCGCCTCTGCAACCAGCGTAGACCGCGAGATATTTGCGCTGGTAAATGCCGGCGTGCTACGGCGCGTTGTGGTGCCGAATCGCGTTGGTTCTGTGGGAGAAGGCGTGGTGCTGGTAGAGGAGTGGAGGAGACTTGTAGAAGAGAATGGTGGTATACCGGCAGACTTGAAAGGTACCTTTTTTCCCCACCTATATTTGAACATCATATACATACCAAAAATGAATAACACTGAGGGATCGCGAGAGAGAAATAAATAAAGCTTACTGAAAGACAGAGAAATACGTCACCTCCCTCACCTCCCCTCTCTCACCCCTGAATTTTACGTCAAAAGACCGCGAAATTCTCCTCTCAACAGGCTTCCTAACATGCAACACTACCGCCCCTTCCGCCCCATGCACCCTATCCCTTCCAAACATGGGTTTATACATCAAACTAGTATCCGACGCGAAAGCCCACCTTCTCAAACTGCTCAAACAAAACGCACACGGTACGATGCCGCTGTGCGACCTAGCAGAGCGCTGGAACGGCGGCGTGGTCGACGAGGGCGATGTACGGGCTGAGCGTAAGAAGGTGCGAGGTGAGTTTCAGGGGGTGCTGCCTGGAAGGACGAAGAGGTGGAAGCAGTTTTGTGGGATGAGGGTTGAGTGGGTGGTGGAAGAGTGTGTGGGGGCGGGGTTGGTGGAGTTGTTCGAGACGGGGAGCGTGGGGAGGGGGGTGAGGGTTGTGGGATAGGGAGGAGTAGAGAGGATGGTGGCAAGATGTGGTGTAGTGTGTTTGAAGATGGATTCGCTGGTTTGCTTGGAGGGATTTTGGGAGGTCAGCATGCATAGGAGTGGACAGGTCTAGTGGTAATTGGAGGATTTGTGTCGTGATAGTGGATAAGAGGGATGCACATGCAAAATCGTGAATAGCTGCAAAAATTTAATGGTATGTGAAAATTGATACGATTCTCAGCATCAGCGCACAACAATGGAAGACTTTTGACGACATTGACTTGGTCAAAAGGGTAATATCCACACCGCTCTCCTCCACTCACAGAAACTTACTTTGATACCATACTACATTTGTAAGTACCGAATCTGATAAACACCCGAGCAAGGATGATCAAAAGCAGCAAGGATACATCAATATCCGGATGATAAGCTTGATGACGGCCAAAAGGTTGCCCCAAAGCCTATGCAAACGTCATGAATAAATTGCGCAATGATAGCGTGCACAAGTAGGCAGAAGTGGAAAGTTTTGAAGAGGTCATGATATATCAAGAAGGCTCCCGGAAGCCGAGAGGCCGTGGATCTAGATGCATCTGGGCCAAACCTTGACGGACCAGGCAAAGATGATAGTGGACGCCGCGGAGCAGCAGCAGCAGTAGGAGGTAGTCATGGCGAATAGCTTACTCGAGGCATGTTATTAATTAATCGCTCACAAGTAAGAGGCGGATATGAGGGTGAGCGTGTTTTGAACCCCGAGTGCGTTCGTGTGCGTTGCAGGACCAAGACCGGGAATGTTCATGCCGGTAGTTGAAGGGTAGTACGAGAAAGCTAGGTTGGGCGTTGTTGGACTCCATCTGTGCCAAACAGTGTGCGTGAGAAAGCAGCATGGGCAACCGCTTGCGTGGGCGGTCCCGCAATCCGTTTCAGCGGAATCCCCAGATCATGGGCAGGTATCGCGCTTGATCTTACTGTGTATACTAGGGGGACTTATTGCGCATCTAGGCCACAAATCAAGCGGCCGGGTGGGCTGGATCGGATTGGCGCGTGCTGTTTCGATATTATAAGCGTGCCCATGTTCTTATCACGTTGCGCAAGGTCCCTTGGGGCTAAGTATTTGATGGCTGGAAGGCAGACAGGGGAGGGGAACTAGCTAGGCCCAGGCCGTTGCCAAGAAGTCCAGATCTGCGGCCATTCCTTCCGTTCGGAGCAAGGGTTTCGCATGTCGTCATTAGGATCAGAGGGTGCAAAGGGACGTGGGCATTGATCTTGTCGACATCAAAATGGGTTTGTAAGGTGTTCTGCCTGATGTACTACACGGCGGCTGGCGAGTATGTGTGAATAGGCTTGCAGATGAGTGCATCCGAAAACCATCGGTGTGGTGCATGGTCAGCTCAGTAAGTAGAACAGCCCAAGACCCGCGGATCAGTCTTCTAGCGCAGCCTGTGAGATGGCCCTCATGCACGTTGCTTGTGCGTGGACTTTGCTTTCAGTCAGCCTGTGGATGCGAGCATTATTGCCATGTGTGTACATTTACGGACGAGGCAGGAGGAGGAGATGGAGCGTGCTTGTCCGGAAAGTGATTTTTTTTGACAGACGTGTGATCAGGATGCGCGTCCGATGAAGCCGAAGGGTGGGTCCATTCTGTGTAGAGATCGAGGGGAAACCTGACTGCGATTTTGACAACGATGGCGCAGCGGTCTAGACGCTGCAGGGACAGCCTCAGTGGTGTGGGCTTGCGACAAAGGGTTTTAGCTGCGATGAATAGGGCGTATGTTAGTGACAGGTCGCGGACGGATACGGGCAGATGTGATGTTTGGTGGCAGCTCTGACAACGGTGGTGCTAAATGCTGGGGCAGGTGGGTGATGGCGCGCCTGGCGGGTGGGATAGGAAGGGCATGTGGGCAAGCAGCGAGTCCATGTGTTTGTGTGTACATGGGTTGCACTACAGGTCAAGAGAAGGAAGAAACAGAAGAAAAGAAGGTGGCCTTGGTGGTGCGGTGCCTGGCAGGCTGGTCCCGGAGGAGCAACGATCAACGCAGCTGACGAGCGGCGTGCACATCATTACTCGAGTCGGGCGTGGTTCACGATTGCTATGTCGATCATGTGCTCGTGTTTGTATCCAAGTACGTACGCACACAAGGATGGTTGGTGCGACGGGATGCCAAACGCGAGGGTGCCGACGGGTTGAGCGTGAAACACGCACGACGTGAGTAAGTCGAGAGGAGAGAAAAGGCACCATGTAACATGAGACGGGCGTGCCGTGGAGGGAGGCGTCTCTCTGCACACACAGATAGAGAGACTAGCAGCGAAGCAAGCAGCAAAGGGCCAAGTAGGTGCAAGTGCAGAGGCAAGGCAACGCAAGCAACTGGCTGGCTGCAGCGGGACTACGGGCTGATTGGTCGCCGAACATGGCTAGCGCAGGGAAATAAGGGCAACAAAGGGCCGACGACGCCGTGCCCAGGCCTGGACCTGGAGATGACACGTTCATGGTCGCTCCAGACGCCTCGGCCGATGCCCATGCAACAGCGACTGCGAGAAGAGTGAAGCGGGCCCTGCGTCGAGGCATCATGCTCACGAGGGACGGTGTGATGCAGCAATAGTAGTAGCAGTGTTGTCGTTGTCGCTGGAACGCAGTAGAGAAACAAACAGCACTGGAGTACAGAAGAACAGAAGCAGCAGCAACAACAGGAGCGCTAGGTTCGGCTTCGGACGATCGTCGATCTGGCGTCGGGTGTAAGAGCAGACGCCAAGCCACCCAGCCGTATACGGTACCGTTCTTGCTGTACCTCGACCCAGCCAGCCTACCTACCTACCCATACTTGCCTGCTCTGTACGCCTTCAACGACACACGCGCTGAGGGCCTGCACGCCCCAACATGCTGTGCAGCTGCAGCGATCCGCTGACGTCAAGCCCTGTCCGGCTCCATACACTTACTTACTTACTTACTACATGGGCGGGCGAGCGAGTGGGCGAGGCAGGCCATCATCACGTTAGGCCACAAGTAGGGGGCAGAGGGGGCCGAGTGGACGGCGACGAGGCGCACCAGGCACGAGGCACAAGGCAGAGGTAGGCAGCTAGCTAGCTTTTGACAGCCACCACACCGAGGGTCATTGATGGCGCCGGCCCCAAGAAGCAGCGGCAGTCTTGAGACTTGGAGGTGTAATAGCAGCGAGCGAGACAGCATGGAAAAGTTTAATTCGCATGCGCTGCGGCGTTGAGGGCGAGCGATGGGTGCAGTCGGGCCAGAGCACAGGGGGCCTACCGGGGTAGCGCTGCACATCGTGCAGCAGCCGAGAGCATCCAGACTGTTCCAGTAGCCGCGCGCCCCACTCTTCCGCTGACCCAGCCCGCCCGCCTATCACACGCCCGTCTGCGCCGACACGGCCGCACCACCATGAGCCTCTTTGGGCGCAGAGCATCGTCCTGGGAGCCGCGTCCTTATGACTTGCGCCCACACACACACATACCACGACTGCTCGCCGCCAGGGCATGGTGTGCTCCAGCCCTCTGTTCCCACTGTTCCCGCCAGCCTACTACGCCCGCTACGGCTACCACTACACACTAACACCAACACCACCGATAACACCCTTTCTCGCTCACCCGCACACACACACCCACACCTTCCCCCCCCTTCTCTGCCGGCCTGGAGGGCGCAAGGACGCTCGCAAAGCCACTGTTCCGGGTCGCGTTCTAGATCGCCCACTGTCCGCCCGCCCTCTTATGTGCGACTCTGCTAGCACACATGCCCTTCCCCAAACCACCCGGGCCAAACCAACCACATTGCTGCGCTGCGCTGCCTCGCCTGCACCTACTGGCCCATCTATCCATCCATCCATCATCCGTCGCGCCTTCCCTCTCCCACTGTCTGTCTGTTTGTCTGTCTGTGTCGGTCGCTCTTGCACTTGCTGTTGTTGTCCCGCACTCCACTCCCTCACCCACCCACGCCCATCCACTCACATCCACTCGCATCCACTCACATCCACCCACTGCTTACTCTACACCTGCTCTGCTCTCATTCCGTCCCTGCTGCGATCCTTTCCTTACTAATCCATTCCCGACTCCCTCTGCAGCCCTCTGCACTCGTCGCTGCTAGCCCAGCGTCCTGCACTCTGCAAGCGGTCCGCGCTCCTCGTCGGCTGCCCCATCCACTCGTCATTGCCTCTGACCACCACCCCGGCACCTACCCCCGGAGCCTTGTTCCCACAGCAGCCTGAATGGATTTCTGAAGCCATGGGGGAACCTACCACCATCCCACCCGATATAATCGAGCGGCAGTCCCTCTGCTTCTCCCGCCCACTCCCCGGCATGGTCGTGCAACACGGCGTACAGGGCTTCAAAGAGGAACTGTCACGCCTCTTCGACCCCGCTGAGAGCAACGCCGCCGAGCAGCTGGTCCGCCTCAAGGAATCCCTTCGCCTCGCCGACACCGACAGCTTCTGGATGCAGCTCACCCGCGGCCTTGCCCAAATCACCGATGCCCAGTATGCCTTTGTCTCAAAGAGGATTCTCGTCGACGACAAGAACGTCGCCGTCGAGCTGCCCCCCATTGGAGAGCCTGGTGCCTGTCTCATGGGCGAAGCCTTTTACATCAACGACGACCACGGCAACGGTCCGGGCCACCTGAGGAACTTCAAGTACCACGCCTACCAGTGCCCATGTGCCTACATGAAGCACGACAAGGTCTTCATCATCCCCGAGAAACTTAACGACTTCATCGTCAACAACCCAAACGACCTTTTCATTCCCGGCGAGGCTTATCTAGGAATCCCTCTCTTCGCCCAAGGTAAATGCTTTGCCCACTTCGGTGTCATGTGGGGGAAAGAGGGGGCTGAGCGACGCGTTTTGAGCTGGGGATTTCTTGAGATGATGATGCACAGCCTCGAGGATATGATTCTGGAACGCGTGCTCGAAGGCAACGAGTTTGCCAGCGCTGCACAGCCAGTCGACGCCGAGGTGCCCAAGATTGTCCCCCACAAGGCTGTCTCGATTGCCCAGTCACTCAAGCCCTATGCCAGGAGCCTATCACACGAACTGAGGACCCCCATGCAGGGCGTTGTTGGTATGTTGGATGTCATGATGGCCAACGTCAAGGAGGCTTCGGAATCTTTCCAATTAGACCCCCGCACTCGCGAGATACTCCACACGCTCAAGGAGAACATTGAAGCGGTCCAAGGTCAGTGGCAAATTTGTGTGACCAGGCTGCACCTGAGCAAGCTCGCACGACATTGGTAAAAAAAAAAAGTCAATTTCGAGTCCATGCTGACAGTCCACTAGACAGCTCAAGACGCGCAGTCGAGGCAGCAGACAATGTCGTCCATGCTTACGATATGAACATGGGCGTTCCTGAAACCACTCAATCCCCGCTTGATAAGTCTCCTGACCAATGGAACACCTTTTGGCGAGAGGTGCGGCCCGATCTGATGATTCCCGCCAACGGCATGCATGCACCCCTGCGTGGAGTAAAGAGGAGGAGACAGGATGTATCATGGGCCGACTATGCCTCCAAGACGCGAGTCTCCAAGCAGGCTCGTCAGCGCGTCCGCAATACCTTGTCGGAAGAACCCCTTCCCCGCGGCTCCAAATCATGTCCCCCAAACCCAAGTCCCGCAGAAATGCAGCAATTGGACCGTGTTTGCTCACACGGCACTTCGTCGGGCAAGTGCGACTCCACTACTTCTCCCATCTTCACCTCAGAGCACTCTACAGTACCTGGACTGCGGCATACAAACTTGAGAGAAGTCTTACAGTATGTCATCAACGATGCTCTCAAAGTAGGAGGAAGGCCAGATTCTGCCATTGCCGAGGCCACGGATACTGGAGAGCGTATCGAAGTGCGGACTCGCAGCTCAAATGGAGAGGCGCACACCAAATGGATCGAGTGGACTGTTTCCCCTGATGTACCAGAGACGATAGTCATTGACGAACGTGATCTCGCCAAGATGGTGTCCTGCCTCGCGCTCAACGCTATCAAGTTTACCCAAGATGGATCCATCACGCTTCAAGCCACACTCAGTGCAAAGGGTCGCTACATTGTCATCAACATCAAAGACACCGGCTCCGGCATCCCAGCGGCCTTTTTGCCAAATCTTTTCAAGCCCTTTTCTAGAGAAGACGATTCCTTGACGAGGCAGAGTGAGGGCCTGGGCCTTGGTTTAATGGTTGCCAAGGGCATTGCTAGGAAGCTCGGTGGCGATCTCTTCTGTCTTCGTTCCCATGTTGCAGGACCAGCCAGAGGATCTGAGTTTGAAATGCGTGTTCCTCTTAACCCAGGTGAGATTTGCAGTCGCCCAGCTACACCATTCGGATCGCCGACTCCCTCGATCAAATCTCGCATGTCGCTCGATCCCGAACTTCCCCGTCTCGACCTCGGCCATGGCCGTGGCCCCGTTACTCCTCCATTAAACTCGGATTCCTTCAAAAACGACCCTGAGCGCCAAGCACCAGTCACGCCCGTCATTACTGTCGACAAGGCGAGCCCGCCGACCAATGTTGGTCTCGTTACTCCTCGCCGCACCTCGTCACCCCCACGACGCCATACCGCCCGCGCCTTGTCCTCTGAAAAAGAAGTGACGCCACCTAATCTAGGCAATCAGCTTCCTCTCAACATTCTCGTCGTAGACGACAACGCCATCAACAGGCGCGTCCTCGTGAGCATGCTTGGGAGGTTGGGCTACAAAAACATCACCACTGCGTTCAATGGCAACGACGCTGTTGAGACTGTCCGTCGCAACGCGCTTGGACCTTCCTCTGCAACCTTTGACGTTGTCCTCATGGATCTGTGGATGCCGTTGCTGGATGGCTTCCAAGCTACCGAGGTGATTTTATCAATGAAGGAGCTAGCGACCAAGCCCACGATCCTTGCCGTTAGCGCAGACATCACCGATGCCGCCCTCGACAAAGCAGTTAAGAGCGGGATGAAGGGATTCGTCACCAAACCTTTCGTTACTCGCGATATCGCCCGGTTGCTTCGGACGTATTGCACGATTTAATAACTTATCACGTTTTTCTTTTGGCGCGGTAGCTTACGCAAAAGGCTCCATTTGGGAGGAGACGACATTGTTTATACAACGCCCAAATGGTCACGGTTTAGGACGGCATGATTGGCTTGGGAAAGGCACATTTACGAACATGATAGCATCAGAAGAAGCCTTTGGGTCGCTTCTTGTACGGCGTTTTGGCGAGAGGAATACTTTTTTTTGGTTTGGGCGGTTTATAATACCCTTGATGAGCTTGCATGTTAGGAAACGACCTACACCTAGGAAAATGGGTCCATTGTAGCATCTATTACATAATACGAACTCTGACACAATGAAAGAAAAAAAAATTATATCCACTTGCCCTGTATTTTGATGCGACAGTTCGATCAGGACTAGGGTGCTGCGAGGACGTTCAAGGGCGTGGCAATCTCGAGCTGCAGATAACAGCCATGATGATGTAGCCAGTGGGGACAAGTCGGAACAAGCCGACTCCAGCAAGGCGTTTCGGAATTTGGCCGCCCTTTACATCGAAGCGTCTTCAGACAATATCTAGCACTTCTGTATATAAACGTCTGATGGTTGCCAATTAGAGTTTTTTCCCATCTCGGCCTCTCTGTAGCAGAAATCCAGGGCAATGGGCATTCCGATCAATGGTAAGGGGTTACACGAAAACGTGGCAGGGGCGAAACGCTAAGTGTGGCTAGTGCGTGGCGCATGCGGGTCAGTCTAGAGGACAGATTTCTTGGGATGCGCCAGAGTCAAGACAAGTGCTGTTGCGCCGCCTTATTGCCGTTTCTGCCGTGGACAGTCGCAGAACCTTCCTTTTGATTCCCTTCTTTAGTCCTGTAATCGTGCTTGGAAACACGGTCTCTTCTCTTCCTCTAGCAATCAGCGGCAGAACATTGGGCGCTGATCAAGTCGATAAATAAGTCAGGGACACAGACACACCCATCCGGTACTCTTATAGGTCAGATATTTCTCCGACGAGATACTACATCCCTGTGCAAAAACATCGACGCGCGACAATCGAGCGACAACTGTACGAATCTGCAGTAGGCTGAGAAACGGTCGATTGGTGAAAGAGCCTGGGCATGGAGAATGCTTACACAAAGACGCCCGCTGAGGCGTTGAGACACTTTCAAGTCGATGAGCACAAGGGTCTCAGCGCACAGCAGGTCCAGAGCTCAAGGGAGAAGCACGGCAAGAATGGTACGTGAGACCCGTCGATACGTAGTGCACGCAGAGGACTGGGCTTTGGCCAAATCTCAGGGATGAGTGCTAACCTGCAGAAACAGCGCTGCCAGAAGACCCCCCGACGCCCATTTGGGAGCTCATCCTCGAGCAGTTCAAGGACCAGTTGGTCATCATCTTATTAGGTTCCGCAGCCGTATCCTTTGTACTTGCCCTTTTCGAGGAAGAAGAAGGATGGACTGCCTTTGTAGATCCCGCGGTTGTAAGTAATGGCTGCCACCAGAGACGCGTGCAAACGCTGACTGCTATTGCCCCTAGATCCTCACTATTCTCATCCTCAACGCCGTTGTCGGAGTTTCGCAAGAAACCAGCGCCGAAAAAGCCATTGCCGCCCTTCAGGAATACTCTGCCAACGAGGCCAAGGTCGTACGCGATGGACACATTGCACGCATCAAAGCCGATGAGCTGGTTCCAGGAGATATCGTTTCGGTCACTATTGGCGACAGGATTCCCGCCGATTGCAGAATCCTTTCTATCCAGAGCAACAGCTTTAATGTCGACCAGTCGATCCTTACGGGAGAGAGCGAAAGTGTGCCAAAAGATACTAGGGCTGTCAAGGACGAGAATTCTGTCAAGCAGGATCAGGTCAACATGCTTTTCTCGGGTACAACGGTCGTTACAGGACATGCAACCGCACTTGTCGTCTTGACTGGCAGCAATACGGCTATTGGAGACATCCACGAGAGCATCACATCCCAGATCTCGCAGCCTACTCCGCTCAAGGAGAAGCTCAACGACTTTGGCGACCAGCTCGCAAAGGTCATTACGGGTATTTGCATTCTGGTCTGGGTCATCAACATTGGCAACTTCAACGACCCGTCTCACGGAAGCTTTGCCAAGGGCGCCATCTACTACCTCAAGATTGCCGTTTCTCTTGGTGTTGCTGCCATTCCCGAAGGTCTTGCCGTCGTCATCACAACATGTCTGGCTCTTGGAACACGCAAAATGGCCGCTAGGAACGCTGTTGTGCGAAGCTTGCCTTCTGTTGAAACCCTCGGAAGCTGCAGTGTCATTTGCTCCGATAAGACCGGTACTCTTACTACAAACCAGATGAGTGTCAGCAAAATGGTCTTCATCAACGACTCTGGTAATGGACTTGAGGAGTTTGATGTTGAAGGTACTAGCTTTGCTCCCGAAGGTCAAATCACGCTCAACAGCAAGCCCATGGACAATCTCGCTGCCAAGTTCGACACTGTACGCCAAATTTGTGAAGTGAGTGCGCTTTGCAACGAGGCTGCTCTCGCCTATGACTCCAAGAACAATGCATACAACCTGGTTGGTGAGCCCACTGAGGGCGCACTTCGTGTCCTTGTTGAGAAGGTTGGTACACCTGACGCTGCCCACAACGCGACCCGTGCGAACACTTTGCCCGAAGACCGTCTCGACTTTGCCACCAAGCACTACGAAAGCCAATACACTCGCCTCGCCACATATGAATTCTCTCGCGATCGTAAGAGCATGTCTGTCTTGGTCAAGAAGGGTGACGCGCAAAGGCTTCTTGTCAAGGGTGCTCCGGAATCTATTCTCGACCGCTGCACAAGTGTTGTCGTTGGCAAGGATGGCAAGAAGGCCCCTATGAGCAGCCAACTAGCCAGCCTTATCACTAAGGAAATTGTCGAATATGGTAATCGCGGTCTTCGAGTCATTGCTGTGGCCTCGGTCGATGACATTGCCTCCCACCCCCTCGTTTCCAAGGCCAAGACTACCAAGGAGTACAGCCAGCTTGAACAGAACATGACTCTGATCGGTCTTTGTGCCATGTTGGACCCACCTCGCCCTGAAGTCCGTGACTCGATCGCAAAGTGCCGTTCTGCCGGAATCCGTGTTGTGGTCATTACTGGAGACAACCAGAACACTGCTGAGGCCATCTGTCGCGATATTGGTGTCTTTGGACCTAACGAGGATCTTACTGGCAAGTCGTTTACCGGTCGCCAATTTGATGATCTCTCTGAATCTGAGAAGATGGAGGCTGCCAAGAACGCCAGTCTCTTTTCCCGCACTGAGCCTACGCACAAGTCCAAACTTGTCGATCTCCTCCAACAGGCTGGTGAAGTCGTCGCCATGACTGGTGACGGTGTCAACGACGCTCCTGCTCTCAAGAAGGCTGATATCGGTGTCGCCATGGGCTCCGGAACTGACGTTGCCAAGCTCGCCGCCGACATGGTTCTCGTAGACGACAACTTTGCTACCATTGAAGGTGCTGTTGAGGAAGGACGCTCCATCTACAACAACACCCAACAGTTTATCCGCTACCTCATCTCCTCCAACATTGGCGAAGTTGTCTCGATTTTCCTCACTGCCGCCATGGGCATGCCCGAAGCTCTGATCCCTGTCCAACTTCTTTGGGTTAACCTCGTCACTGATGGTCTTCCCGCTACAGCCTTGTCCTTCAACCCCGCCGACAACGACATCATGAAGCGTCAGCCCCGCAAGCGTGACGAACCTCTTATCAGCGGCTGGCTCTTCTTCCGCTACATGGTCATCGGCACCTACGTCGGCGCTGCCACCGTCGCCGGTTACGCCTGGTGGTTCATGTTCAACAGCGAGGGACCTCAAATCTCGTTTTACCACCTCCGCCACTTCCACCGCTGCTCTACTCAATTCCCCGAAATCGGCTGTGAGATGTTTAGCAACTCGTCTGCCCAGGCTGCCTCCACTGTCAGCTTGAGCATCCTCGTCGTCATCGAGATGCTGAACGCCATGAACGCACTGAGTAGCTCAGAGAGTCTGCTCACGCTGCCGCTATGGAAGAACATGATTCTCGTCTATGCCATTTGCCTGTCCATGGCTCTGCACTTTGCCCTGCTTTATCTTCCCTTCTTGCAAGGCCTCTTCAACGTTGTCCCGCTTAATGGTAATGAGTGGAAGGCCGTCATGGCGATTAGTGCACCCATCATGTGAGTTTTGCTTTGAACCTTTGTGAAAAAGATGCTTGCTAACAAACATGACTAGAATAATCGACGAGGTTCTCAAGTTCTTTGAACGCAGCTTCTTTATCCAGAAGGGCAACGAGAAGCTGTATCCTGTTGAGCAGAATGGAAGGCCAAAGAAGGAGTAAAGCGCTCCTTGCACTTGTGCTTTTCCTCTTTCTCTACTCATCACTCTGTGTCTTAAGATGCAGAAAAAAGCATCGAGGAACGTGTTATCCAGTGTACCGTTCTAGAGAATGGCAGAAGCAAAAGGCAAGGTGAGAAGTGTATTTCCGTGATGGTCGGTGGAAACCTTTTTATGTATGTTTTGGTGGTTTCTGCGCTCTCTTTTCTAAACAAACTTTGCGCAGCAGCTATCACACACATGCATGTTGCGATTAGATGGTTAGAACGGTTAGATCTTTGTTGCTATACTACACACAAAACCTCAAGAATGAAAATCTCAGAGATACAAAACTGTTCATGATGGGTTGCGTGGATTTGGTGTGATGTATTGCATTTGTTTGGTCAAAGATATATTAGTCGACGGGTTAGTAACTTGACATAGACGTTGGTGACGGAAATCACATGTAGATTACAGGATCCTCCTAACATATGTGCAAGCACTAGAAAAGTACAGTAAGTGTTCCTTAACGTGGTATACTCTACTGCAACCAAGCAGTGAAAGCTCTAATTCCAGTGAATCCAACTTTGACATCCGTCCTCACTTTCACTTTCACTTTCACATAGTCACGTCACCACAATTTTTTCTCACTCCGTCCGTCTGTCCTCTCCCGCATATCCCACCATCCCTCCTTCTCAACCCTGCAGTTTTCATCACTGCAACTGCAACCATGCCGCCTCACGGCCTCTACCCCATCCCGAGGCACCACCTCTCTCCACAAAACAACAAGCTCCAGCACCGCCGCACATTCAATAGCATGTCCTTTGCCGACGCGGAACCCGCGCGCGAGACTACCGCAAAGAGCAAGAGCGAGGCTGCAGCAAAGACCAAAGCAGAGACAGTAGAGCCCGCGAGCGAGGTTGTAGCAAAGACGGCTGAGCAGCGTGCTCAGCGAAAGCTAGAGAAGCGTCAACGCAAGGAAGAGAGGAGGTTGAAGAAGGAGCGCAAGGCACAAGCTAAGCAGCAGAAGCAGCAGCTTGTTGAAGAAGCGAGTGACGTGCCATTTCAGCAACCTGACACCACACCATCCGTGACTCAAGCAGAAACTGCGCCGCAAGCTCACCAATCTGAAGCTACTCCCGTGGCTACTCCAGTAAAGAAAGGACGCTTCGGTCTGCGCGGTCCGTATAAGAAACGCGAGAAGGCAGCTGCCGACGGCACGCCGGTATCTGCAGTCAAACGCAAGAGGGAGAGCGAAGTGCAGACTAGCAGTAGCAAGGACGCAGACGGCGGCACATCGTTGCTTGACCCGAATTTCCTGTCATCGCTAAAGGAAAAGATGGGAGATATGGGTTCTGCATTTCAAGAAGCGGAAAAGGAAGGGGAAGAGCCTGCAAAGAAGAAGAAGAGGGGGCGACCCGTGGGGTGGCGCAAGAATGCTGCTGATGCGGAGTCTGTCAAGACTGAGACTCCGAAAAGTGGTGGTAAGAGTGCTGCTGCTGCCCCGACACCGGCGTCTACTACGAAGAGTACTGTTTCCTCAACACCAGCATCTACTAGACTCTCTGGCTCGATTCTCGATAAGTCGTTCAAGGTAACCAAGACTCCTGTGCCGGTTCCCTCAGTTGCATCGATACCGGCATCTACTAAAGTGGCTGGCTCAACTCTCGACATGTTGTTGAAAGTGACCAAGACGCCCGTACCAGTTCCGGTTCCATCGGGTGCGTCGAGTGTGTCTGCTTGCGCAAAGTCACCGGTTCCGGTGCTGCGGAAACCCAGTCTCAGCACCAGTGACAGTATGAGTGAGCTACAGACAAGCAAGACGGCAAAAGTTGATCAAGCTGACGTTCTCGTCGCCGAGACACCTCCCTCACGCATGGGCAAAACGCCAGTCACAACACCTCGTCAGCCCGCCATTCCATTTCCTCATCTCAGGCGCTTATTCTCCGCCAGCGAATCACCCATGGTGAGGGGGAAAGATACCACCATCGACCTTACTTCCCCCGAGGAACCCACACCAAAAGCGAACACATCCGCAAAGCATGTCATCAGCAGCCAGGGCTCAATCAACCCCCTAACCAGCAGTCAAGCCTCCATGGACTTCGTTCCAAACACCCACCCTCCGGCCTTCTCCGCATCTACCCTTGCCTACTACAAACAACAGCTAAACGAAAACCCCAAAGCGCGACCCCGCCGCCATCAACGCGCCATCTCCGAAGCCCTTAGTTCAAGCAGTGACTCAACCTCGACCACACAGAGCGTGCTCAACATGCTAACTCGGGTCCCAAAACCCTACGGGTCCAAATTGGACAACCCCTTCTCCTCGTCCAAAAAGAAGAAGAATAAGTACAACAAGGGCGACGAGCAGCACGAAGAAGCCGACAGCGAGACCTTTACCAAAGCCTTCAAAGTCATCCAGCGAACCGTGAATTTCAGCGATGAACAAGAGTACCTAGCCTTGTACCAAAAGATCGTCGAGCAAAGCAAAAAGGCCTCACTTCCATGCTTGAAAAGCGCAACGGGCTGTTCCTTCCGCATCCACGATCCCGCCTGTTCCTTTTTTTCGCCTACCAGTGCACTCGAGCAGCCAAGCGTAGACATGCTGGATTCGACTCAGCGCGCAGAAGCTGCAGAGACGTTTCTCCGCCACGCACTCATGGCGCGGGTGCCTGTTCCGCTGGGCCGCATTACAGGCGTTTGGCGCCTGTACTGCAAAGAATATACGGGACAGCATGTAGACAAGTACAGTTCGGGTATGCGTACGCTGACGATTACGTCGCCGTCGTCGTATCAGGGGACGCCAGTGTACACGGCGCGTTTGCACATTCCGCCGCGGTCCATGGCATTTGCCATTGCGCCGTTTGCGGCACCGCCGCATGCCGGGTTCCGCGCTACGAGGATGAAGCTCGTGCAGGAGGGGTATACGATGGACATGGTATTTTTCGGAAATGGGTATGCGAGGGTTAGAGCGGAGGTGGGGTTGTTGCTCTCTGGGAAGCATGGCGCGGGTGGGCAGGTGGAGAGTGCGGGTAAGAATAAGGGATATGGTATTTGGCACTTTCTTGCTGTGCATGAAAGGCCGCTTTACTGGGAGCCTCAAGTCGATGAGTTGGAAGTTGAGGGGAGGAAGCTGTTTGCTGCGTATGATGGTACCGAGTAAGTGAGACGGATCGGGGTGTTGGGTTTGGAAGGTTCTGTAGGATGGGGATGGTGATTGGGGGGGAGGGATTGTGTCTTCTACTCTCTTCGATGTCCTGCATGCGCGAGCACCGTCTCGCGACTCATGCAGCACTACAGTCTTTGTGGTTTCGAATCAAGGATCCTGTATGGTTAGATGTGCTGCATGGATGATGGTTGGCAAACATCTCAATCCAGTGCAAATGAAATAGCGAGTCTAGTGTGCTGATGAGACTTCTTGTTATGTGATTGATGCTCGAAGAACTTCTGCACAAGTATATATACATGCGATAAACCGCGCAAAAGTTGGGATATCAGCATTGTGAAGTGTGTGACTATGTGCTTGGGATATGGTAAGCGGTCGTATCTGTGGTCGACCTCATATGTGGGTTTAAAATCGAGGAGCCAGAGGAGATAAAGTGTCAGTGGCGAGTGAACAGATGAGCAGGTGGTGCGGAACATCACTCTCTATGATGTTCTTATATGTACGATTCAAGGTCAGATTGTAACCATAAACTCACTGCTTTGTACCTGTTTTGAATGGCCAATAATTCTGCTTCTTTAGCTACCATATCTTAATCGCTTTGGCCTTCATCTTTGCTAGTGTTGGTGATTTCGTCGGTGAGGTTATTTTTGGTCCAATCTGGACTCGTGATATTTGCCTATTCCTTCCAGAAAGATTACAAGCCCTCTTGCTACTCGAATTATAGTCAAAAGTAATAACCATTGCCAACTCACTCCCCAACAATGAGCGTGAATATATATCCAAGCGTGAACACACCGAGACCAAATCACTTCATCCCGCGCACTTCAACAATTCACTCCATCAACAAAAACCCACAGCCACTCTTCAATACGCAGAAAAAAAAAACAAGAAAGGTTATTTTCCCCGGATAAACTGATCCCAAAACAGGATATTTCCCTTCCCCCTGTTCCCCCGACCCACCCGTTTGCGCAACGCAGCTAGTCTGGGTCTGCCTCTTGTAGCTTTTTAAGGTTTACATAGGTATACCTGGCTCCCACGTGCATAAGTACAGCCGACTAACTTTTTTCTTCCTAACCGCTACCCCGTCCAAATGCGAACCTATATAGCAGAAGAAAGCTTGTCAATAATATGTATGGAGACGGGGCTTGGACGGGGCTTGGCGAGGTGCTGGGAGCTAAATGCGTCTTTCATCACTCTACCCACATGCGAGCGTTGTATACGACTCACTTGTGCTTGCGAAAACAATTGTAATGACATACAGAAGGCTCATGGAAGATGACGATTGTGCAAATTTTTTTAAAAAAAAATCATTATTTCGTTAAAGTCATAACTACATATACTTAGTTCCGTCTTCTGACGCGAATCTTTCCGCCGTGCAGCGGCAACTTGAGCCACACGGTATCCAGCGGCTTCGGCCTCACGGCCATGTGCTCAACATCGTAATTCAGCAGCATATGCGCGATAAATACCTTCATCTCGTTTAGCGCGAAAAAGCGGCCTGGACACGCATGCCTGCCGAAGCCGAATCCAAGGAAAGCGTCGTCGAGGGTAGCAGTAGACTTGGCCTTGCGGTCCGTCGAATCTTCTTTGGCGGCGGCCTCGAGATCCTCTTTGGTGGTGAAGCTGTCGATGATGTTGCTTACATTTGTGGGGTCGGCGAAGCGGAAGGGGTTGAAAGTGCGGGCTTGGGGATAGATTTGCTCATCGTAGTGGATGGGCTCCATGGGGACGGCGATCATGGTTCCTTGAGGGACGTGAATGTTTGAGACGGGGAGGCGGATGCCTTCTGGGTGGACGACCTGTGGGGGGCTGTTTAGAAACACGCGTGCTTGGGAGGGTCGAGGAGGAAGAACTTACGGTTCTGGGGAGTCCGCAGATTGCAAAGGGGTTTAGACGCATGGATTCACGGATCATGGAGTCGATGAGCTTGAGGTCGCGGACTGCGTCGCGGGTCCAGACGCCGCCGGATTTTGCGAGGACGGTGCTGGCTTCGTTGCGGAGAGCGTCGACGTAGCCGAGAGAGGGGTCGGAGCTGAAGAGGTCGAGAATTACATTTTGGACGGTGAAGCTGGTGGAGTGCAGGGAGATGTCGTTGACGAGCAAAAGACGGTGGGCTACGCGTTTAGGCTCCAGTTGACCGACATCGCCTTTGGCGGCAGCAAGGTAGCACTCGTCGATAAGCCATTGGAGTCCATCTTTCTGGATCTGGAGTCAGCGTACAATTTCATAAATGTCAGAGAGAAAATTTCGTACCGGTGGTGTCCAACCGCATTTTGGGTCAGCCTTGTAACGAGCCGTTGCTTCCAATCGTTCTGTTACAAATGGCAGACAGCCTCGCAGAGCCTTACGTCGCAGGTACCAGCAGTTTGAGCCGACCAAGAAACCCGTGATGGGCTTCAATGGCTTAGGCGACGCATTGATAAGCATAGCACCTGCGAAGATGCTCATGGCGTGGTCTCGGAGATCATTCAGGAAAGTTTCATCACGGCCTAGAGAAAAGCATCAGTATGGTAGTGTCTGGATCTCGTCACTGCAAACTTACATAGCGGCGCGCCACAGAAAGCTCCATTACTGGCACCAGCGATGAGTTTTAAGCAGGCGTCCCAGACTTTGACTTCTTTCCATGTCGTGTCGCCTTTCTCGCCCCACCACCGATCGAAGCCTCTGTCGAGCTCGTCGGCCATGAGTGGAGTCAGATGTTCAAGATTTCTGGTAATCTGGTGGCGCACAACATTGATTTGAAAGTCGTTGTCTGCTACCTCCTTGTCCCAGACGGTCCATTTTGTTTGGATAGTCTCGCTCTGCGTGGCATGGATGTCGAGCGTGGACTCTGGAAGCGAGTAGACCTTCTTGATGAGACGGGGTGGCAAAATGATCATAGCACCTCTGTCAATGCTGGGCAAGATGAAGGGACTGTTTAAGCCGGCAAACTGATAACAAGGTGTTGAGTAATTGGCACGCAAACATTGTAGCGGGCCATACCTTGCGATAGCCTTCAAAGGCCCAATCCTGCGTCTTGCGAACAGACTTTAGAGTAGCCCATACCCAGGCGAGCCATCCTTTTCCTAGGCCTACAGTTGGCAGCTCTTTCCAGTGCTTTGATTCCGGAGGCCCAAAAAACAAAGCGCGAATAGCATGGTAGACAACGAAGAGGATAGACAAAGGCACGAGGGCCTGTGTGGGCGTGATGATGAGCTCCATGGCTCTATGCACAAATCACTGAAGCACAACAGCAGAGCAGAGACTGCTGGGTTCCAAAAAACCCTTTAAGAGGTTCCATCTTTCATGCACGCCTCTAGGCGATAGCAGCAACACATGGGATGGCGTGCGAGTCCTACCATGCGCCGACAGCGCTAAAGCCAATCGATACAGTCGTATCCGCCGGACCAGGGTGCCTGCAGCCAGAGACGGCCCAAGACGCTTGTTCGACTTGGCATCCCAGCCTCTGTCCTTGGGTGGGGATTGGCGGATGAGACGAGTAGTCGTAGGCCGACGATTGCATCAAGTTGGACGTCGATTGCGGGGGGCCCCGAACCCGCTGCCCGCAAAAAACAAAGTTCAAGCCGTTGCACCCTGTAAATCCAGCACTGGAATTGCGGCAAAAGCAAAACTGATGGACATTGATGTGGGCGGAGTAGGAGAGGGATTAATCGACGGCGGCACACGCACCCCTCGAGGCGGGACAATGGAGTGGCCATGATCCGAGCCGCGCAGGAGGTCGCATAACTAGTAGTAAGTAAGCAAGTACAGGATGTGTACGTACTTGGTCCATACCGCTTGATGCACCCACGCAGACGGGAGCAGCAGTCCATCTGGCCATTGACCATCCACAAGTAGAGGCCACATTGACAGCGCGCCAACCGCGCGGCTCTACACACGGCTCGGGTCGGCTGACCGCCGCTTCTGGAACAAGAACGGCGTGGGGCTGCCCACTATGGGTTCACTTGCCTGCCAGCTGGGAGGAGACGTCTTGGTTGTCTTTTCCCATACCTACAGCTCAGCCGAACGCCAAACTCCATTGTGTGGATACGCATGTACATGCTCCTACAGTACTCGCCTCGGCTGCCGCCCTCTGCTCAGCGCCTCCACATGGTCATGGTTCCCCTCCTCTGGATGGTTGTCGTGACGCACCTGTGCGCTCTCCGCCCGGACGAACTGCCCCAAGTCCCATGCAACGGCGAAAAACCCGGTCGATTATCAGCACAACTGGTATTGTCCAATGCACGCTCGAGTGTCAGCTATCAAGAGCAGTGCCTCGAGCATGCAGGCAACCGCCTCTTTCGTAGGTGCCGGCAGTCGACGTCGCGGTGCAGATGGAGTTAGTCCACCTCGGCACATGCCGCCGGCCAATTGAGCCATTTGCCAAATCTTCCAAGACGTCAACTCAAGATTGAGGTGCGCTATCGGCTTCGCTGCTGGCTTAATCGCCCAGAATACTCGCCTATCAAGAACCGCCAAATTAATGCGCATGCAAAAAAAACACGCGTACTATGTGGGCGAGCATGCGACCTTGAGGCCTCGCTAGCAATGTATCCCGGCCTTGCTGCATGCTGGCTGCAATCTAGATCATGTACAAGCCCGGGCTGATGGAGCAATCATGGCGTTTTCCGTAAGGCCGGATTGGGTAATACTCTTGAGCAACATCTGTCTGCCATCGTCATCACTCAACGTCGGACCGATCAAACATTTAGTAGCCCTCTCCATGGAGCGGCCGCATTCTCAGTCACATCAGGCCCGCCTTCTCACTGGGCCAGCTCCAGAAGCTCAGAGTTGTTGACCCAGCTTCGTAACAGGATTTCCCTTCCACGGTGGGGTCTCTGATGCATTAGTCTGCACGAAAAATTAGTGCCTCACCGGAATTTCACATGTGTTCGGTGAGCCTGAGGTACCTTGAGTTGTGACATCGTTTCGACGGCTGGATACTTGGACGGTCTCAAATCACCGTCTTAGTCTACTTACCAAGAAGCAGGGGTTTCACCAGGTACTCTAGGAAGCTATGACTTTACGCTCTGCCAGGCAATATCTGCCATGCCCTGGCCATGGGGAGAAGATATCCAAGATATGAGGTGCACCCATGTGTCAATTTCTCACACCGATTGGTCATTAAATCATCTTTTAGTGAGAAAAAAAAAAGATATACTTGTTGTGGTATCCATGACTGCTTTAGTTGCGGCATAGTACTAGTAAAATGCACAGACACGACTCACGACCGACGCCGCAACTAGCTCTACAATGAGCAATCGGATACAACATCAATGCGCCACATAATGCCAAGAACATGGACACAAGCACACCTTCACAACATCTAAATATTCATAAGCTATCCACACGCTTGCTCATTAGCCGGGATAGTGGCCTCACTCCACGTTTTTGACACTTTAATCCACCCTGCAGTGCGGGTACATTGTCCCGCATTGCGCCACCGCTCGACATGGGGGTCCTCGGAGCTTCTACACAAGCGGAACTACCCCCATGTACCCAGAGTCGCCCGTGTATTGTATGTACACCATGTATCACTTACGCACCCACTGCATGGACCATACAGTAGAGCCGCATTTCCGACGCTGTCCAACCGTATTCCCCGAATCCTACGCTACTTGACATCGGGCCGTTACTAGCAAGCACGCAGTGCAGAAAGTGCATGGGCGTAGGCGCTTTCATTGCTTGCATCGGCCATGCCTACCTTCTAGGATGGCCTGTATTATGGATGGAGTCCACCAATCGTCACCTGCACGTATAGACGGCCGCCTCCACAATGCCGGATGGTAGCTGTGCATTTACATAAACTGACACAGACTTGAGGGTAACGTGGGCTGATGCCGCTTGCCTCGAGCTGCATGATAACGGCACAGTAAAACTAATGATGGCTTTTGCTAGCATGCGTGACGGGGACGCTGCGACGGGACACTACGACCGAGGTTTCTGCGGCATCAGGCTTTGACAGTCTTGATTCCTTGGGCCGGCCTTGTATATGTACCAAAACATAGCCCATGTACCTGGCTCCCGAGCAGCAGGTCCGGTCCAATTTTTAACCTTTTCCATTGTACGCTTCACATAGTCACAATGGACTCTCTAGTATTGCCAACAGTACACTTGCCTACGTTGAGTCCTTTGACAGTCAACGCTGCAAGCAGTGTCTTTGGTTTCTTGTCAATTTTTCTTTGCTACAGAGCACTCGTAGCTAGGAAGTTGGTGCGTCTTCAGTCTCTCTGCATATCAATCTCTTTGAGTTCAAAGCTGACCTTATCATTCTAGCCATCACTACAACAGCTTCTCAACTATGTCTTCAGCCCCTTCGTAACTCGCTACAAGGCATGGGCGTACCTCTTCTGGGGTCCAGAGATTATTCAAAAGGCATTCGATGAGGCAGGTGGCAAGCCCTTCGAGCTGTTTGCTCCAGACAACCGCTACGTCTATGTATCCGACCCTCAGCAAATCAAGGAGATTGACAATGCCCCCGACACTGTCTTGTCACTTCAAGCGGCTTCCAAGCAGGTAAGCCAATTTCCCCCGTCTATTCTCTATTAATGCTAATGAATCTTCAGATGTTGCAACCCGTATACACAATGTGAGTATAGCTCGACGTTTCTTATCGTCGTACAAATCACATGACTTCCATTCCACGTTTTAACCAAGGATGCAAGTCTTTCGTCTTATGCGGCTTACTGACACACAACAGGCATGGCTTCAATTGGTTCGATAGGCGCGGCACCGAAGGAGTCGGCTTTATCCGCGCTCTTCGCACGCTCTTGACCAACAATCTGCCTAAGATCCTGCCTGATCTTACTTGTATTATCCGCACAAGGTTTGAGGAGCTACATGCTACTCACCCAGTCATCAATGGTATTGTACAAGTTACATACATGTGTGAATGCAGCTAATAGAATGACGTAGGCAAGAGGCATTCGGATGTCTATCACATGACTGTGAAGCTCGTCGTATTGTCCAACGCCGTGTCGTTCTTCGGAAAGGATCTAGGTATGCTGAAACGGGTATTCGAATAGCCTATTCATACACAAGCTTACATCTTATTTAGCCAAAGATGAGCAGTTCATGGTCTCAGCCCTGCAATACATTGAGGAGACTCTGATTTGCGCCGAAATCGTGCGTCTGCTACCCAGCTTCTTGAGCCCGTAAGTAACCTCTTAGAACCACTCTGATTGGTTTTCCCATGCACATCCACTCACTAACATCAACCTCCCAGCATCGTTGGCAACATCATTGCTCGCACCCTCAAATCCCATGCTGTGATCTTCAACCGACTCCTCCCCATCGCCCAAGAACGCTGCATCGAACGCGATGCCGCCATGCTCGGCCAAAAAGTGCCTCAACATGTACGTGCTACAAGTACATCTCAATGTACCTGAACTCAACTAACCCGTGACCTCAAAGGCGGACTGCATCCAATGGATCATGGAGACCTCGCCCAAAAACGCCCCATGGACGCCTCAGCGCGTAGTCCACGAGCTAATGGCCATCTGGTTCGGCTCTGTCCACGCTGTCTCTACAACCGTCACTTTCGCTATTCACGATCTCTGCCTCCACCCTGAATACGTTGCCCCTCTTCGTGCAGAGTGCCAGGCACAATATGCGGATTTCGAACGCAAGGGAACGGGCCTGCCGCTGTTGGATAGCTTTATCAAGGAGTCTGCGCGGTTGACGCCTGTCGAGTCGCGTAAGTTGTTTCTCTCTCTTTCTTCTTTATTGTTGCTAATGCAAAAGAATAGAAAGCACCCGTCGCTCAGCCCTCCAGCCCTTCTCACTCAAGGACGGCACCCACGTCAATGTCGGCGACTGGTTCTGTACCCCTGTCCGCGCGATAATGACTAACCCCGTTGACTTCCCCACCCCCAACACGTTCAGTGGATTCCGCTTTGCGGACCCGGCGCTTGTCCAGGCTCTGGAGGATTCCAAGGGATCGTTTGAGATTCTCCAGAAGAAACCGACTAAGTTGACGGATGTGGATATGACGTTTCATGTTTGGGGAACCGGACGCATGGCTTGGTGAGTACTTCCCCTTCTCTCTACTTTCCCGCCTCCTTTCTTTTTCTTTATGCTTGTATGATGGTGAAAGAAATGAGCTAACGTAATTACAGCCCCGGCCGCTTCTACGCCTCAGCAGTCATGAAAGTCATCCTCGGCCAAGTTATTCTCAACTACGACTGCGAGCTCCTAGAGCCGAATGCTAAGCGCCTCTTCACATGGCGCTCAACCATTCTACCCAAGCCTAGTGCTAAAGTCATCTTTACGCCACTCAAGGTGTGAGATTCACGTTTTGCATACAGTGTGATGACCTGTCTTTGTTTGTTTGTTTGATTCCTGGGGGGAGTTTTGATGGACGAGTTCATGCAATTAGCGTTTCTTGCTTTGGCGTTTGGGGACATACGAATTACGATACAACACGATGATATCCACGCTCCTTTTTTTGTTGTTAGTACCGAATGAAGATATGACCATATTATCAAGCACGCTGCTCGTGACATTGTAGGCGCTGTGAGAGAGTGGGTGTTTAGATCTTGCATTACACATTACATTACTTATGAGTCACCTGAATTTACCCGAATTACCCTACCATAGCATGCTCCCTTTCCATGGTATATCGCGTTGTTCATATCCCCTCTCTTCAGCTTCTCCCAAGTCTCTCTCACCAATAACAACACTGACTAAACGGCCACTCCTCCACCCCAACATCCAAGCCTCGACTCGTATCCCAACACCTCAACCAATCCCCTTCGCACCCCCCAGTTTCGTCTCTCAAACTCACTCCCGATCGTCGAGGAATCACCACATATCCCGGACGCATCTTCCCAAAAGGCAAGTCCGCCGCGCACCTGACATTTCTATTCCAACTCGACCATGCGTCTCTATCATGATCCAGGAGATTTGCAGCGGTGTTGTATCGTTTGGACAATGGCACGACGATTGCTGAGCTGCCGGGTACGTCAAAGCCGCGGACTACAGTTTCCGGTACGTAGTCGTCGCGCGCCACGACGGCGTAGCCGGTGTATGCGGTGGGAGGGGCGGGCGAGATCTCCGTGTAGGATAGGAAGTGTGTGAGGGGATGGGATGCGGGTGTGCGGACGGATGGGATGACGGTTGGGAGGAGGAGTCGAGGTGCGTGATTGCATGAATCGGTAGGCTTCTGCTTCTTTATGGGCGTTGTCGTGGTGGCCTGCTTCTTGGGAGCCTTCAGAGGGTGGGGAGCCGACTCAGTGCGTATAGAGTCGCAGATGAAGCTGTCAGTTCGTTTGTGGGCATTGTGTGAGCTCAAGGTTTGCTTGCGTCCTGCGAACAGCGTTATGAGCCAGTCACGCCACGTTCTTGACGACGCGTCTGGATTGGGTTGTTCTGTTTTGCAATCAGGTATTTCTCGTGTGACCGCTTCATCATTCTCGGATCCAGGTATATACAGGGGCGCGAGCAGCAGGAGTGAGTCGCTTGGGTCGGTGTCATCGTCCACGGAACTGCAGAAACTAGACAGACTCCTTGAATCCAATGACGAGATCGGGGTTTCTGCCGTAGGGAAGATGTCGCTCTTCGTAATGTGACCCATCTCATCAACTGCTGAAGCGGAAGCCCGCATTTGGGAGAAACACCCTCCTTTTCTTCCATGTGTACCAATATCCTCTTCGTATATTGCCCGGTCTGAATCAATCGGAGTTATATATACTTAGCTTAGTTAGCAACCGTTCTAGATAGATGGGTATAACAGCCAAATAGATGCCTCTTTTGACTATATCTGGGTCGTCCATGATGTCGTTTGTCGGTGGTGGTTTGGCCATATCCATGTGATGCTTGTTGTTTTCTTGCAGACGCTGTTTGCTTTCGCCATGCAATCGAACGCGCAACATGATTATGCGCGGTCCAGTGATATTGCAACTATTGGTTGGGATGGATTGGATGAATGAGCTGAGTAAGTTTGTGGGAGGAAGTGGTAAGAGACAGGTGTTGAGAGAAACTGGTTGTTGAAGTAAAGTCGAAAACTGCTCAAGTTTGTGGAGAGTCACAAAGTGGATTTCCCATTGCATGTACAGGTGTTAATTATTGCATGGAAGATTCACTGCTTTCCGAGTGATTGCGGTGAAGCGATGTGATGGTAATGGTGATGGTGGTACATGGCGATATCACGGTGAAGGTAAAACTGAGAGAAGTGGATTACACGAAAGCAGGCAAAAATGTAGAGCATTTTCTGATGCTGAAAATGTCACTGGAATAGATGGTAAACAATGACTGGTCGCGAATCTTTGGTCTCTTAAGTGTGATGTACGATTACAGCTGCATGCCGCCAGGTGAGCATGGAGACAGTGTAGCACAGGCTTGAGCTATAGGCGTTGATACAATGACACTTGGCTGAGCTCCGATTGACACTGATGGGAGCGTGCATCATAGCTCATCCATTGTGCTAGCGTGCACGCAGGCATGGACAGATGGCTGCTTGGTGATTCAAGGTTTACACCCAGTATATTCATGCGTTGTCTGCGCAAATATATGTGACTGCATGAAAGGTTAGTAAAACAAAAAGGCAGAACCAAGGCAAGTAAAAAGGTACCATTGTTTCCACGGACAAAGGCATCGCCCCAGTTGCGCATGACCTTGCCGTCTGAGACTTCCTTGCAGCGCTCAAGGGCAATGTTCATGTAGCCATCGACTGACTGAAGGTCGCCTGTAACGGTGTTAGCACACAATGGAGACGAGGACAGCGGCATATACACCTTTGTAGATGATGCCAGAGTTGAGCTTGACGGTGACGGGGGCGCCAATAATCTCGCTGAGAAAGCCGCTGGGGTCTCTAGAGTCGGCGGCAGCCTCTGGTGCTGGGCTTTCGCCGTTTGTGGACATGGTGTCGTGGCTGGTTAGATGAGAGTTCCTGGACATGTGTTCAGCGACATGGTCGTAGTAGCATAGATGATGCCGGGACGAGGGAGCTTACGTAAGAAGCGGTGCGTTCCTGGCTTGAGCTGGCGATGTGCTGGTGGGTGACGAGTGAATGGACTGAGCAGGTGGCGCACGGACCCGCTCTTTCTGTCGCTACTACTCGAACATGGCAATCGCGAGCAACGTGACTGCGCGTTTGGGAAAGCCCCACTGTCCCGCCTTCCACGTCTGTCCGCCTACCCCTTCCATGCGGGTACTGCTGAGTCAACACCGTTCAAGGCAACCCATTCACAATCGATGCCTCTCTCACAGCCATGACACAAGCCACCCCGAGCGCGGCACCGCCCAAAAAGCGCTCCCTCTTCAAGCGCCCAGCCTGGCAAGACTCTCCGAAAGACGACGACGCCGACATCTTCAGCCACTCGAATGAGTTTGCCGACATCATCGCCGACGAGGCCAGGCGGCGCGCAGAGGAAAAGAAGCAGGAAGAGACCCGCCGCGCACGCAAGCACTCGCAGCCACGAGACAGTAAACGTCGGCGAACGTCAGATTCAGACGACAAGAAGGCCATCGCAAGCTCGACACTGAAGACATCCCCCGGACGCAGCAAAACTCCCCTCTCTCCTCTTCCAGTACAATCGCCGCCGGCCTCGCTCTCTGCCCGATATGACTCACTAGCAACGTCCAATTCCTCAGCCGCCTCGCTGCCACATAAGGACTCGCCTGTTGTTGAGCTGGATGATTCGGACAATGACTCGCATAGTATTCACAAGACTCCCACACCGGTCACTGCCAGCCATACACAAGACGTGACCGTTCGCAAGTCAGGACCGTCGCCAGTGATCATTCTAGACGACGATGACGAAGACGAGGCAGAGGAAGAAGAAGACTCTATGTTTGCTGCATTGAGGGCAAGAGCACGAGCGCGCATTGCAGCAAAGGCCGCTGCCTCATCGGCACAAGGCAGTGACGCCCCCAAAGCCCCAATCACCCAACTTCTCATTACTTCGCGCATACCAAACACAAACCCCCTCATGGTCAAGATCAGAGTCGACACTTTTATCGAGAAGCCACGCAAGGCATGGTGCGCGAAACAAGGCCTTTCCCCAAAAGATACAGACAATGTTTTCTTCACATGGAAGGGCACACGTATATATGACAGCACGTCTATCACACGCTTGGGCATCACAGTTGACGACGGCGGAAATGTGACAGTCGAAGGGGACACCAACATTTACGATGACGTCAACCTCCCCAAGATCCATGTCGAAGCCTGGACCAATGAACTTTACAAAGAGTACAAGAAGGAGGAGGCTGCAGCAGCAGCAGCTAAAATGCTTGCTGCCGAAGCCCCTGTTGTGGTCGAAGAAAGGACTCCTACTCCGGAACCTACTCCCGTGTCCACGAAACTCCGCGTCATCTTGCGTGCCAAGGGCAAGGCGGACTTTGGCTTGACAGTGAACCCGGTATGTACAGATGTCTTCAAGGCAAGGCAGGTCATGTATATTAACAATAGCTATAGCACACTACAATTGCTCATATTGCAAGCGCGTACAAATCCCAAACTGGCGTTGACAAAAACCAACCAATCACACTCATGTTTGACGGTGACCGGCTTATGCCCTTGGACACCGTGGCCGACTACGAGATGGAAGACAGGGATGGTATTGAAGTCCTATTCAAGTGAACATGTCTCCAAGTTTTATTTACAACAGCGGCCTTCTGGTCTGTACTCGCATTGTCGTTGTTTGATTTCTTGATATGAATGATAGCGTGGCGTTGGGGGCGCATCGACATTCGAACCACATGTGCTTTGGCAATTTGATCTAAATATTCCCTGAAATGGACCTGGAGCATTTTCAACGCATTGTGTAGCAATCATGGCTGTCAATATAACCATTTGTCTTTTGATTCAACAACTCAGATATTGGGATTCTTCCTCCTGTTCGCACCTCCATCAAGAATCAACTCTTGACCGCTCAAAAAGCCAGCTCCCATGACATACTCGACCATCTCGGCAAGATCCTCTCCTCTTCCCACCCGACCAGCGGGATGCTGCTTATGATACAACTCATCCAAATCCTCGGCCCACGCCATCATCCTCAGCTTCTGCGCAGACTCCTCATGCGGCGCAACCTCCTTGTACGCGCCATTCTGCTGCTCCTTGATCTCCAAATCCCGTGCCTTGCACTCATGCTGCACGCTGACCCACCCTGGCGAGATAGCCACAACACGGATTCCCCATCTCTGACACGAAATCGACATGGCCTGCGTCAACGCCAACACCCCTCCTTTACTCGCCGCATACCCCTCACAATCTGGATCAGACTGGTGCGCACGAAACGACGCAACGTTGATTATACAACCGCCCTCATCCAGCTTGTCTTCTCCATGCAGGTTTGTGGGTAATTGATTAAACTCCTCGGTCCGCTTGAGATCTTTCCTCCTATCCACACCCTTGGCGCCCTCCTTTTGCGTATTCTTACTCTTCATGAACGGAATCACCGCTTGGCTCATGTAGAATGGTGCACTGAGATTCGTAGCGATATACGCTTCCCATTGCGCGCCCGTGGCTTCATCTTCCATTGTGCCGTTTCCGGCGTTGAAAAAGCCGCGGGCGATGCCCGCGTTGTTGATCAGTACATCGATGCGGCCGCCGAAGAACTCGGCGGCTTGCGCGACGGCAGTGCGGATTTCGTCTGGCTTGGCGAGATCTGTGACGTGGGAGCTTACGCGGGGGGCGTAGGCGGAGAGGTGAGTAGAGACGGCGTAGTCGAGTTCTTCGGCGTCGAAGTCGAGGATGAAGACGCGGTGCGAGGCGGGGAGGGAGAGAAGGTGACGTGCGGTGCAGCGACCTATGCCGCGCGCGCCGCCGGTTATGATGATGTTTTTGGATTTTGAAGCAGGCATCTTGTGTGTATATGTGTATATGACTTGCTGGTATAGCGAAAAACCCAGGGATCAGATACTACTACTATCTAGACCTCGTTGCAGTTGGCAAAAAGCACATGCAAGCTTCTTATATGTATGTACATGTCTCCAGAACGCCCGCTTGTTGGTGGCGCATGTGCTAGCCGTTGATATTGTGTGTGCGGGATTCGCCCTTTCAGGCTATTTTGCTCTTCCAGCCGCGCATGTAGCGTGGTGGAGTACAACGGGAACGTTTGGTGTATGCATACATTAGCCCTGGGGGGTTGTTCGGGAACGTCCTGCATCGAGGTCCTAGTCTTGTACGCCTTGGAAGCAGGCCCGCGTATCCGCTTCCCACTTCCTCATGAATGCAAATGAAATAGATTGACAAATGTTCCGATGGAAAGGCGGACCTGGATACTAAGCGATGATTGAAGTGCGGAGAGCGCTTGAGAGACGTGCGGAGTTCGGACAGGCGAGCCGTTGGAAGGATGCAGTTGTCTCACTGGAGTTGGTGGTGTGCGGGGACGGGATATCTGGTCGCTTGCCTGGCCCGCTTATCGTGCATAGCTATGTTCCGCTGCGACCTTATTGTCATGTCTTGATGGTATACTTTGGGTTTGACGATGAGAGGAATGGGAGTTTTACCGAGGGTAAAGTGAGCATTTTTGCCTATCATGCTTTATTGAACATCTACATATGAAGTCTGGTGGATTTATGTCATGTGTCCTTTTCGTGGGAAACATAGAAATCTAAATCTCGTTCATGGTCATCTTTCATTCTTGATGCTATGTACTTCAGGCTGGCAGATTGTATGCGTATTGCATACCTTCCTCTTAACTACGAATCCAGCTATGATACATTATCGAAGCGATCATAACTTGGAAAATCAGAATACTCCCCAGTAATATCATCTCGTCGCCATCTCCTCCTCAACCTTTTGTCCCGCGCACTCTTGCAGCAACCGCTCTTGCACATTCTTAGCAGCCCGCGCGTAGGCGACGATATCCACATCTGTCTTCTTGCCATCCGATCCACCGTCAAACACCTCGTAGCTGAACCAACCCCGGAACCCCGTCTTGAGCACTGCTCTTGCAACATCGACAACGGGTAGGTAACCGCCATTGTATGGAAGCGGCCTAAAGTCGTGGCTCCAGCGTCCGCGAGGCAGCAGACCGGACTCATCACGCTCAACATTCATCGGCTGCGGTACCTTGTACGCATCGCTAATTTGCAGAAGATAAATCTTCTCCTTTGGGATACTAGTGCTGAGTTCCTCAAGGCTCTTTTGGAAGCGCTTCTCTAGCTCGTCCTTGGAAACATCTTCACGCATGCCAGATGCGGTTCTAGGGTCTCCCCATTCACCGCCGGCAGTCTGGAAAGTATCAAGGCAGAGACCAATGTTTGGTCGGTCGACTTGCTGAACAACATTCCAGACGTTTTTCCAGTCCGGGGCATGTGTCGACCAGCACCAGTTTTCGTAGGCGAGTCGGAAGCCGTGCTCGTTCAGTATGTCGCATAGCACCTGGAGGTCCGATACCATTTTCCTCTTTTCTAGTTTTTCAAGCGGCGTATCGGTTGATCCAACTTGGAGCATGTCTGTTCCGCACGCTTGCATGATGCGGATCCAGCCGCGTGCTCTGTCCATGGCATCTTTACGGCCAGGGGAATCTTCAGGCCAACCTTCGTAATTGGAAAATGGCTGTAGCATCATGATTCCTAGGTTTCTCTTGTCGCATTCTTTCTTGATCTCAGTTGCTACTGTGCAAAGTTCGTCGTAGTTCGATGGCTGTACCTCGTGGCCGAGCAAGGTTTGACCGAACGAAAGGATATCAGGGAACGAAAGCTCAACGGCAGAGAAGCCTGCATCAGAGATTGCCTGTAGTCGGTCAAGCAGAGGCGGAGGGTTTGATGGGCTACCGAGCGAGCATGTCGCATAGCTGATGGGAATAGAAACTAGGGAAGAGTAGTCGAGCCCGCTCATTGTGTGTATCTGAATAATCCTGATGATATGAAAATGGCTATTGACTGTTTATTTTGAAAAGCCATGGTTACTTATGAAATGGATAGTGGTGCGACACGGCTCTTCCGGTATGCAACAGTTGTGACGTAGAGGCTGTGGAGTAGCGATGACGGCACTCAACAGCCTAGGCTCGACTGGTCCTACAAAGTGCGACTGAGCGAAATCGCTGTGTGTGCTAAGTTGTCGCGTATATTATGGACATGAAGCATCAACGACCAGCACTGCTCCAAAACTAGCGCTGAATGATGACCGGAGGTGCCAGCCCCGTAGTCGGAGCAATGTGGCCGCCTCCATATGGTTGAGACTCGAGAGTTGGATTAACAGGGCACTTGTTTGCCCGATGACTGTGCAAAACGACCTCAACCACGGCGAAATCACCATCGTTGCGCATACTCAAAAGCAGCTTTCCTGAAACTCGACGTCAGGATTGATGGCGATCTCTATGCTACTGATGTGTGGTATTGATGGACAGGTTTGGTTGGCTATTCCGAGAGCGGCCGCCACAGCCATGAAAACAGTTTGAGCACGCCGGGGACTGGCCAATGAGAGACGGTCCGACTCCGCTGTCATCACCAAAACATTCGACTCATAAAGAGGCCGTGGCGGCTGCAGGAAAGAAAAAGACAGACAATTTCAAAAGTCACTGCTCCAAATCTCTCACTTTGAGACATCAAGTCGTGGTTTCTCGCAGTCCAGTTCAACCGCCAGCATGTCTGTAAGTCTAGCACCCCGCGCCACCTGCCCTAGTCGTCATTCACTGTCTTCCTCTACTAACACCTCACTGTAGTTCCACATTGAGAACGCAGCCGTCGGCGACCCCCACAACTCAGAAGACTGGCGCATTCGTGGCTACAACCCCCTCACCCCGCCTGATCTGCTGCAGAGCGAGATCCCTCAGACAGCAAAGTCCCGCGACACCGTGCTCAAGGCCCGCGACGAAGCCGTCGCCATTGTCCAGGGCAAAGATGCTCAGAAGCGACTGCTCGTCGTCATCGGCCCGTGCTCTATCCACGATCCCGCCGCTGCCCTCGACTACTGCGACCGCCTGCTGAAGCTCAAGGAGAAGTACCAGGATGACCTTCTCATCGTCATGCGCTCGTACCTCGAGAAACCCCGCACCACGGTCGGCTGGAAGGGCCTGATCAACGACCCCGACATCGACAACAGCTTCAAGATCAACAAGGGTCTGCGCATCTCGCGACAACTCTTTGCTGACTTGACGGAGAAGGGCATGCCGCTGGCGAGCGAGATGCTGGACACCATCTCGCCCCAGTTCTTGGCCGACATGTTCAGTGTGGGAGCCATTGGCGCCAGAACCACTGAGTCGCAACTGCACCGCGAGCTCGCCTCTGGTCTGTCTTTCCCTGTAGGCTTCAAGAACGGTACAGACGGCACCCTTGACGTTGCTATCGACGCCATCGGCTCAGCCAAGCACCCCCACCACTTCCTCTCCGTCACCAAACCCGGCGTCGTCGCCATTGTCGGCACAATTGGCAATGACGACTGCTTCATCATCCTGCGCGGCGGCAAGAAGGGAACAAACTACGATGCAAAGAGCGTCAAAGAGGCGCGCGAGAAGCTCGAGTCAAAGGGTATGAACTCGCGCCTCATGGTTGACTGCAGCCACGGCAATTCGGAGAAGAACCACATGAACCAGCCCAAGGTCGCCCGCGCTGTCGCCGAGCAGATCGAGGCTGGCGAGACGGCCATCATGGGTGTGATGATTGAGAGCAACATCAAGGCTGGTACGCAAA